AACAGATCGTCTTCGTGGTGATATTGCTAAATTAAATGCAAATATAGTTAGTAGTTGTTTATCACAAGATATACCAATAGATAATACCAATGCAACACATACACTTGAAAATTTATTAAAACTACTTACATTTAAACAATACCATAGTCGGTCAGTGTATTATTTTTGTGTGTTTTATTCATTTCTTGTGTTAATCAAATACGATATAACAAGATTGGTGAAGCCTAAAAGTAAAAATTTAGACAATCCATGGACTGTGACAGACAGTAGTCAGTGGCCATTGTAGATGCCTTAGCAAGACTTCCCCTTCATATCGCAGACGTGGATATACGATCACAAACTGTATATCAATAAGGTTTCGTTACAATATATGAACTGATTTCTTATTGTAGTTCTGAAGGATTAAGTAAAGTGATAGTTAAGAAATTTATCTCAAAATGGATAGAATAAAATAAACTCGTAGTTATTAACAGGATAAATCACATCATGTTTGACATATTAATCCGATTAGGATTGTGCTAATACCGTTTTATTTTAATTAGACCAAAGCCAGTTGTATATTCTCAACAATATATTGATATGCTGGAAGAAGAAGTTAATGAAATAAGTCGAGCTTATGTTACTGACTATTGGTTTGATGATGTTGAAAAAGATGTAATTGATCTTTTAAATAGTGACGAATGGGAAACAATACCACAAGGTAAATAAAAAAAAATAATGTGAAAATAAATTTGTTAATTTTTTTTTGTTATTTAATCAAATAGATTATCTCATACCGGATGATCCATCAATTCATGAACGTATTATATCATTACCGCCAACATCTGGTCAACAACATCAATCTGTTATGAGTGGTTCAATTGATTTTTTACGAAATCGAGGATCGAGTCTTTTCAATTCAGTTTTTCGTAGTTTTGCAAGACCATAAAATTTGTTTTGGTTTGTTTTTTCTCTTTTTAAAACGGTGCTGGTATATTCTGTAATATGTAATATTCTATACCTCTATGTATTTAAACATAACATTTTCTTTTTTCTTTATTTCTTTTTTAAATTTATTCGAGACGATAAAAAGAAACAAAATACAACAAACTCTAATCAGTAATTTTTTTCTTTTTCAGACAAAAAAAACATGTCATCAAATTTAACTTCATCATGTTTTCTTCAAGAAATGGCTTATCCACCATATTGTATTCAACCATTAAAATCTTGGGGTATGATTGCAATTGGAGGTGGAGGTGGTACAGCTAAAACTGGTGTAACAAATGCTGTTGATTTAAAATGGATTTATTTGAATCAATCACCAGATCCAACTAATACTAAATGTTCAATACAAAATGTTAATAGTTTTACACAACATGATAGTGTTATGCGAATGGTTTCATTACGTAAACAACATGAATATCTTATATTAGCACTTAATCGTCAATTAAAAGTTATTATGCTTAAAGCATCACAACGTGATGCAGATAGTGGATTAGCAATGAATGTTTCATTACCTTCAACACCACATATTCAAGATACTGTACCAGTTGTTCCACTATCAAGACATGTACGTCGACGACATAATTCATCAACATCATCAGTAACAGATCCAATAAATATGCAACATCGTCCATCAGTTATACTTCATCGAAATGGACAAGCAACTGTTGACGCTATTGGAAATGAAAATACAATTGTTCAGTCACCAACAACTCGTTCAAATTCATTTAGTTTTCCATCAGCAATAGCAACAGTGATGAATAATATTTATACAGTGCCAATACAAGAACAAGAATATGTTAATGCACTTGTAGTTTGTCCAGCTACACAATCAAAACTTTTTGTTGGTTAGTAAATAATACTTAGAACATATCAAAAGGAGCGGCAGAGATATTTTAATGCCCTATAAAAAATTTAAAGATACTTTTTCTTTAAATAGTCTGATAGTAAAAGCAACCCTTCGATATTTGATCATCGTTCAGCTAATATTATAATAATCAAATTTTGATAAGAGCTATTTGTTATGACATGTCATGTCGTTTATTTTTTGGCAAAAGCGACAGTGCACTCGTTTTATATCAATTTTTGATTAATTTTTCTATTTATTTAGTTTCTTCTGTCGTGAATGCATCGATTGCAACATGTTTTGTTTGATGAAAATACAATTATTTCTCTTGGTTCTATCTTTTGAATAACGAACGATTTTATGGCGTTACCTATACTAAACAATACAACTCGTATTGTAAGCTGAAGCAGTCGATGTAGCTAGTGCAGACGGCTCGAATATGTTCGCTACTAAAAATGGGCGTTATTTCGGCTAAGATGTAATATTTTTCTAAGTGATGTGGTAGAACAAAAAGAATTGCAGAAGTTTACCAAGTCTTGATTTCATAAAAGGATCGTCCTAGTCATTAACACTTCATTACATTCGTTGAATCCACTTATCGAACGAGTTTTATGCACTTCTTTATTTAAAAAATTCATGAACTTGTTTACAGCATGATGCCATGATGAAGAACAGTTTTGATTGCTTAGATCTTGGTTGATTAAGTCGTGTAACCAAAATGCATAAAGTGTCACATGCAAATAATTACTTGAGTAAAAGCTTGATGAATGAGTTTCTGTATTACTTTTTGTTTTACTCTAGCATATTTAGACGGCTAGGTATTAAAGGAGGCGAAGACAAAGAGAACATCAAGAAGAGGAAAAACATCGAAGACAAAATGTAATTTGATACTACCGTTTCGTATCATAACGAACAGCGAAGCATCTCTGATTGGGATTGCTCTTAATTGGTAAAAAGTCGTCTTATGAGAAGCTTCCTGAATTCGTCCATTTACTTTGGATGAGTATGGACATGTTGATAGGTCTTTCATAGATCCACACTTAATCGGAAAGCTACCCGAACATTTCCTTTCAAAATTTTATTATTGTAATATTAGTTGAAGAATAATCAAATATGAGACCATGTGGAGACAAAGATCTTTTTTTTTATAGGAAATGAAAATATCTTCATCACTACTTTTAGTATGTCTGAAGTCTAATAAGTTTATTTGATAGGTGCAAGTGATGGTTCATTAACAATCTATGAAATAATATGGCCAGCTACATCATCTGCAGATCGTTTAATACAATTAAAATTATTAACATCATTTACAGCACATAAAAAAGAAATTGATGATTTAGCTGTTGATCCATTTGGAACTTGGCTTATTAGTGTATCACGTGATTATCATGTTCAAATTCGCCAATGTTCATCAACATTCGATAAACATGATGAACTTGATTTATGTCAATTTGGTATGAATAAAACATCGAAAACACCAAAACCACTTTATCGTATTCGACATGTTCGTTTTGGTATTGTGCCATCATCATCATCATCAAATGCAACATATTTTTTATATACAAGTCTTATACCTCAAGCTATTGTCGATAAATTAGTTAGTCATATTGTCCAATGGACAGAACATAAACAACGTGAATTTGTTGTTCGACAACGTCGTCTTGTTTCAAATGATCGAATATCAGCTATAGCTGTTAGTAATTGTGGTCAATATTTATCTGTTGGTGATTCAGGTGGCTGTGTACGAATATATGAAAGTGATCGTTTAAAATTAATATATGAACATCAAGCACATTCAATATTTGTAACCGATTTAGCTTTTATATTACGTGAAGAAAATTATTTATATGAAACAAGTGTATTAAGTATAAGTGCGGACAAAAATCTTTATGTACATAATGTACATCCGCCACAAACAAATATTTTTTCTGTTTCATTTTTAATTGTTATTGGCCTTTTATTGCTCTTTTTGTTTTTATCTCAAATTCGCTTTAGGTTTCATTAGAAGTTTTTGTTTTTTTTTCGTTCTAAAAATTACATTATTTATTTTAGAAAATAAAAATAAAATATAAATTATATGTTATTGGGTTTTAGATCAGCATCTCATTACTCCTTCGTTGTTACGATAGTCTAGTCATAATGGTTCACTATTTCTTCGATTCCACCGATGGCATTCATTCATCTACGGTATGTTATAAATAAAGTTCGTTCTGCTAAGACTCATAAAACATATAGTTTAATTTATATGATAATATTATAAATTGGCCGATTCAACCTTTAATTACTGAAAACCTGATAGGATTTATACTCAAATTCAAATATTTGAGTTTGACATATTTCTTGTTGCCTCATGTACTGCTCATTTTTTCAATCCATTTGAGACAAAGTTATAATGGAAAAAAATCCTGATTATTGAATATAAGAGCCTAAAATCAGAGTATCAATTGATTTTTGAATGGAGGTCACAATCCTTATAACAAGCAGTTAATTTCATGTAGACTTTTGTCGATTCCCATTGGATTCATCATAGTCATTCATCTTTCGGGTCTGCTTGTTTTTACTATATTGTTTGGTCACGAAACAAAGATTATGTTCTATTTTCTTGATGTAGAACGTTTGTCTTTCTGTGTATAGTTCTTGAATATTTAGAAGATTGATAAACTTGGAATAATTTTATTTGAAATATAATATTCTTCTTTAAATTCAAGCTCTTTTCTATTGATAATAATGAAGAAATCGTCTCGGAGAATATATCTAAACGATTGAAATCTTTTGTTTTGGATTTTACATAAAAGCCTTGCTTTCACTAAAAATTTTCATTAAAATCATCAATAAATCATGAACCTGAATTGTTTTGCCTTTCTTCGTCTCATGGATATCTACTCATAGTTGTAACATAAAATGGAATAGTATCTGACGGTTGAATATATTCCCTTTTTGGTAAAACGCAACATTTTTCATTTATATATTTATTTATTTTCTAGATCGTAATTCCACGATGTTTGACTACATTCTAGCCACATGTCAATAGCATTTACGCAGCACTAATTGTATTTCTGCTTTTCTGTGCTATTACATTAAATAAAATTTTCAACTTATTCATTGTTTTTTTTTCTTTGATATATTTCAAGCAGAATGAATATTGTTCTTTGTTTTTCGTTTGTTCTTTAAGATGTCAGCTGAAACAGATAAATTACGAAATAATCTTCATGCTCAACTTGAACGATTACTTGATCAATTAACTGATTTAGATCAAAATAAAGATGATATGGATGAAAATGAATATAAAGAAGCAAGACAAGATACAGTTGATCAATTAGAAGAATTTAGTAAGTCATTAGAAAAAATGAAAAGTGGTGAAGGTGGTTTATCATTACTTGATGATGTACAACGAATTCAAAATGTATGTAAAACAAAAAAAAACATAAAAGATATATACTCATAGATAGGTTCTTTACATATAGGCTATTAAATGTGCTATAAGTCAAGCATTTCATACACCTGAAGTTATCCGATTTTTTGCTAAAAAACAACCAGTTCAATTACGAAATCATCTAGCTGAAGTAAATATTTCCGTTACATTACAAAAAAAAAAAAGAATTTTCATAAAAAAACAATATATTCTAGATTGAACGAGATACAAAAATTGGTAAAATAAATGGTGTTGAAGGTGCTCGACAAAAAAAAGAAATTCTTGATGCACTTAGAAAACTTGGAGAACCATTGACAATTGATGAAGAAATGTATTTAAAACAATATTCCGAAGGTGGTAATACACATTTTGCTAAAATGAATGATACATCAGGTAGAATAATTTGATTTACATGGATCAAAAAAGTTATTTTTTAATTCTTATAGATGTTAATGTTAATGCTTTATCGGCAGTTGCAGCAAAACAAATTGAAAATGCTCGAGCTCCTCGATAATCACAATGTTTTATATTTTGATAGCTATTGTTTCAATTTTTTTAAGATTAACCTTTGTAATACAACGATACAAATTCTTTTTTTGCAATACAATCAACATTGTTTTTTTTTAATTAAATAAAATTTTTATAATTTGTTACCCAAGAATGAATAATCAATATTTGTTAATGACTGTATTTTTAAAATAAAGGATGGAAGCATATGAAATCGAGTTGCTGGTTCCCTTCTAATTTTCAACGTTCAATTAAATTAAATCATACATAGATGGAACGATCACGAGTTACTGATCATTTTGATGCTAGAATCAAGGCAATTTATTTCAATCATAGCTGCGAATAGGATCTAACCTACGTGTAAAAAGTCTTTGCACAATATATCTGAAAAGTTTTCTTTTTGGCTCAAAACTAGTTTGTTGAGAACAAATCGACGTTTGTACAAAACGCTAAATGAAAATGTATTTGTAACCATGTTTGCTCATTTTTTTTCGAACAGATAGATCTTATAGAAGAGGTTCAAAAGCAATCAGTTAGTATCTGAATTCGATGGTCTTTTTAAAGGTATGCTTAGAATGTGTTACTAATCTACAGTGTGTCATCTGTGAGCAACTATTTAATTCAATCGATAACCTCGTTGGCACCAAGCAAATAAAATTTCTTCTGTTATTTATCACTTGTCTAAATGAGATTTTAGAATAGCTTTGACTTTCTAGTGTTGCACAGAATTTAATTTTTTACTAAATTACACATTATAGTAAGTTAAAATTTAAAGAAATGTGATCAAATTCTATATGCATTTTTTGAACAGTTACTCATTAGGTAAGACGACATTTTTCCAAAAACCGCTTCTTTCGAATTCCGGTATTTAGAATTCGATAAATTTCGATCTTTTGTTGCAACATGTTAAAAAAAGAAACCAAGTAGATATTTTCTAGAGTCAGTTTCGCTCGATAACTTCGTGTGTAAAAAGATTATCTCATAATTTGGGTTCAGATAAATACAAAACTGAACTATCCGTAAAGTTTTGTGTAGTTGTTGTTTTTTAACCGCTGTCAAACGTTCGTTTCGATTGAATTAACTTTTAGCCAGAAAAATCAATTTGGGAAATACAGTTACATAGAATATGAAATTTTGATTCTTTTCTAAGACTTATAAGTTGACAAAAATTGTCCAGATATGTTTTGCGAAGACTTTTTATACACATAATTTCCACGATATACTTAATGATCAATTAGGTAGCTATTGACACTAACCAGCAACGTGAACATTCATTTGACAGAAAATAAATAGAGGTGAAAAATGATTCAAAGTTATTTTGGAGATCTTTGTTTCAGCTACATTTTCATAATACACATCTATCCTTTAGAATAATATGTTGAATCTGCTAGAACGTAATGTCATTTTTTTTGTATTAATGAAACTTTCTCAACATTTAGTTCAATTCGCTATCGATAGAATTTTTCAAACGCCACAAAGCAAACTACCATTTCATGAACTAAACAAGTGAGCCACCTAATATAATCGCTATTTCGCCTTTCTTGAGGATCAGTTTTCGACTTTTTCAACGGGTTTTTCAAGCGAAATAATACCCATTCCATTTCAAATCAATATAATATTTGGAAGCAGCACATAAACTAAATCGACTTCTGTGTATTTTAAACTTTTTGTGCGACTGTTTTCTTTTGATTAAATTTTCACAGCTGAATCTCTCCGTAAACATATGAGAAGAAATGAATCTAATCAAAAGAACTATTTTATTATTTAGTAACCCGTCTTTTTGTTCTCAAATATCATTTTGAAGATTTAGAACTTGCTTTCCAGTATCATAATGACTTTTTAACTAAATTAATTTTTTCACATATCTCGGAAGGAAACTTCAGGTGTGAATATTTAATCAGACAAAAAAAAAGTCGCACAAAAATTTTGAAACATATAAGTTGACCTAACTTGTTATTTTGCTTTTAAGTATGATATTTATTTGAAATGAAATGCTTATTATTATTGTTGAAAACTATCGAAAAAATTGAGAATACGCCCTCACGAATAGTGAACTAAGCACTTTCTTACATGTTCCAATCTTTGTAGACCATACGAAGTGGTTTGTTTTTAGTCTTGGAAAATTCTATCGATTGTTCATACCTATAACCGATAGACAACTCAATTACATTGAACATTGAAAATTGAAAGGAGTCGAAATGTGTTTTTATACGTCCGCATCCTTTATAATTGAAGATAATTAAGCTATTAAACACATTGAAAAAGAGAACTGGAATTCATAATATTCAAAAAGGAAATGTTTTCTCAGGGAATTTGCTTGAATATTCTTCTGTACAAAATTAAACATCGTTTTACAAACAATCGGAGTGGAATAGAATAGTGATTTCATCATGTCTAGTGCAAAAATAAGAGAATGATAGGAACTGATTATCATATTAAGTATAAATATGAAACAGAATTTCAAAGGAATATAAACCAATTCTGCTTATTATCATCAACTTAATGAAACACTTTATGATCAATTTCGATGTTTTCATATTCCTATTATGTATGTAAATAGATGAACATTAAACAGAATCAATAAAATTAATTTAGAAGATTCTTTCTAAATGAATGCAAATCTTATTTAAGTGCAAAAATAGTTAATACAACCGAAACAACAACATATATCTATTGATTTATATGATTAGCATCGTATATGGTTATTAAATCGACCATTACTCTTTAAAACAAATCGCACATTATCCTATTTTAGAAATTATCTTTAAGTTATGTAGCAATCGAACACTAACAAAACTTTGATTTGATTTCATACACTGACTTATTTCATAGCATGAGTTTTATTCTACGAATAAAACATCTAAAGCGAACAAATGTCTCCCATCCACTCAATTTCAACTATCATACGTGCTTGAAATCGACAAACTTGCATCAACATACGTACTCTACCAATAATGTAGATCAAAGGGCAAAAGTCTGCTTAGATTGTTTAAGAAAGAAGAAAATCATCATAGATGGCGATGAATAGTATCTGTTGCTCCTGTGAACTTTGCAACTCTTGAAAACAACAGTTTTGTGGGTACACCAACAACTTATTATCTAATGTTGTATTTCAACTCTCTACACAACCAATTTCATGGAAGTTCGCGAGTCCTTTCTACAATGATGAACAGTTTCCTATGACTACCGATGTGGAGAAAAATCTTCTGCTGTTGTATAAGACTAGAATTCATTTATAACTTAGCGTCTAAAATTCATACTCTTAGAATAGCTTCTTCTGGAGTTGGAAATTACTGTCCTATTCGTTACAGAAACGAATTTTAAAATTGATAGGATACAGCAATGCTATAGCCATCATGTTGATAATACCAAGTTGCTAGTGGCATTCAAAAACACTATTATTTGAGCAAATAAATTTCTATTTTTAACTAAGGAAGATCTTTGACTAAGCTCCAGTTAGATGTAAAAATATTAAAGATTACTCTAACATTTAATAATAAAAGCAAGACAAAATTTAATAAATACCCTTTTGTCAAAATTCATGGAATTATATTCTTGCTAGAGTATGTTCACATACGGTTTCAGACCTGTAACAGTTATAGATTTATATCTGAACTTCTTCGAATTTATTCTGTTAGAATTTTGTTATTAAAACATTTCACTTGTTATTTATTATTAACATTCTTTCATAACGATGGTTAATATACTTGTTGTTCAATCTTAAGTTAGAAGTTTTGTTTGCATAGAAAAAAAACCAGATCAAATAATTGATTTAATATTTTGTAACAGTCTTGATTTAGCAAATAAATATTTTCTTCATTTAATAAATGTAAGAGAAAAGCTGTGAAAAAAAAAGTTCTGATTGATTAATTGGCTTGCAATCAGCTTCATTCCCTAGAGCATCAATCAAAACGAAGTGCCAATAATTGTTTTTGTATTACATCGTGATCTTTTATTAGTTTAAACAAATTTAGGATCAAAATCGAATGTTTTTACTTAGTCATGAGTTAACATCAACAACAATTACTGATATTTGTAACAACTAGAGAATTATCTTAGAAAAGTCATAACGACTTACATTAATGTAACTAATATTTAAATGCTTATGGTGTGTATGAGAAAATGTCGATAAGAGAAATTATAACATCAAGAAATAAAGTGTATTAAAACATTTGATGAGAGCAAAAGAAATAAAAAGGGAAATGCAATTTTTCCTTCACTCAAGATATAAACATGAGCTTTGTTCTATTGATGAGAAGCATTGTTTGTCAAATATAATATTAGATAGAACTGAACAATATTTCATAAGAATTTTATTGTAAAAAATATTGTAAATTTTCTGAAACAATTAATAATTAGTTTTTCGTAAGCAGAAAAAAAAAACAATAAAAATAAAAAACCACTCTCAGGAGTTCATTGTTCATATATATGAAATACATTTTTTTATTGTTATGTGAAAATTATAAATAACAATGACAAGTTCGAGAAGAGTCTTTTATTATATAAACGAGAAGAGTGACAATCTAGAAGCATGTTGTTGAAAGCCAATTACTTGCCTGTGGTAACGACTACTAAAATTTTCTTTTTCTTTCACTCTTTCTCTTACTGTCTTACTAGTTAAACGATAATAGATAATAGAATAAAGAGAGTAAGTAGTTCTAAGAAGAGCATCTTCACCACTCTAGAAAACAAAGAAAAAGTAGACGTTGTCTTCTTGTTATATTTCTTTCTTTTTCGTTTAGATAGTCATTCTTGAAAGATTGTTTGTTGAATTACTGAACAACACTGTTTAAGAATATATAATCATGTCTTCATTTCGTCAAAAACTAACAGCATTTCTTTGTGTTTTTTTTCTTCTAATCTGCTGTATACACAGTCTTAGAATAGTAAGTAATTCTTATTTTGATTATTTATTGAATTATCCAGTAATTATTGTTTCCTTATAGAATGAACTTGAAAATGCTATAAATGAAAAAAATTTTGTCAATGAACAACCGCTTACAGTTGCTCAAATGCATGCTCTTGAACAAGTTTTAAATCGTCGAAGTCTTTATGATCCTGCATATAGTGATTCTTGGTCAAATTATTTTGAAAAAAAGCGTAGTCTATTCGATCCTGCTTATAGTGATTGGGCTAACAGCTTTAAACGATCAGATGAATAAAATATTCAACTAACATTATCAAACTTTTCTTCTTCTTTGTATAAGGACAAATTGAAAAAAAAATTGAAAACGATTTTGAAAATCAAACCTAATAAATAGCGTTTAAAAACTAACGTTATCGAATGAACATATGTTCTTTTTTCTCTCTAGTAGACAGCTGGTTAATCTACATTTTATGGTGAATTTAATTGTCTGAAAGACAAAAACATCTATATATATATTATAATTGTTATGAAAAGAAAAACAATATTTCCTCAGATGAGTCAAACATCGTAGACTTTTGAAAATTTCCCAGAAGAGCTTTAGTTGCGATCTATTACGACAAATAAGAATACATCTAAAGATTGCATCAGACAAAGAATTATGATAATAATAATAATGAATGTAAAAATGAATTGCCCAATGTAATGATGTTGCGAAAGTCATGACATGTTTATTAATCTGTGTCCCCTTAAAAAAAAACAAAAAGCTCCTTTCCGTCCGATTTATCTAAATTAAGATATAAACATGAGAAAATAGCTTGAGCTTGGATTTTTCATAAGTGACATAAATTTTTATTTGGCACATAATTTTTTTCGAAACAATTTTTGATGATTTTTGTTAGTGTGTACTTGAGGAATATGCTTTTTTCAGACAGAACCGGAAATTAGCTTCGTTTTTTTTCTCTACTGATATGCCCATCTTATGGTATATTTCTGAAGTCTCGACGGAGCTTCATTGTAATCAATTGGCCTTTATTAGGTTTTGTTTTAAAAATGATGTGCAGTTACTGTGTTAGACAGAGGCCACTTTTTGCATTAAGCTTTTTGATTAATATATAAGAAGCACTTCTATAAATAGATGAGCATTCTTTGACAGTTTGTCGAGTTATTGAACTTGACATCCTTTTTTTCACGCATAGAAAGTAAGAGTTAAAAGAAAATGGTTTTGTCGGATATTCTATTTTGGCATACTCTCTCAAGTAAAAAATGTTCAATGTATCGAATAAGAATCCACAAAGAGTTTCTGGTTGCCAAATTATCTTTTTTTGACCTTTGTTTCCTAGATATCTATTGAAAACGACATAATATAAGACTGAAAATTATAGCATGCCTGTTCCACTACAGGCCCAACATATTCTAAAAATTGCATGTGATTTGAATATAGCTAATTCGAAATCGAGTTTGGAGAGAAGAGATAATAATTTCAATATTCACGATAATAAATCTTCATCTGTAAAAACTGGTATTATTAAAATCAATTCATCTTATTATAGCAAAACGCATTCATCGTATCATATTTTTTTATGACATTCTATAAATTTTTGTTATTGTTGAGCACGGAAATTTTTCGAAAACTGTCTTCTAATTTTCAAAGAATGAAATAATCAATGGTGAAAGGTTTTTAACATTGTATATCTCAATTATCTTTCATAAAATAATTATGAGCGATGAAATACATGCTATCTTGTGCATATACCAAGTTGACTTTGTGTCCCTAAATATATGTAGATATATATATATATTTAATCCTACAATAAAAAATAAAATCATACAATGTACACCTATTGAGAATGTCACATAATCAGTATGACACCCTAAATATAAATACATATGTATAAGTTCTAATTAACACAAAAAAAGGTTATTACAAGAAAAAAGTTAATATCTTTTTATTGAATTGTACTGCTTTGTTTCCGGTACTTGTTGATCATAAAATTGATTATGTCTCATTGGTTGAAAATTTCGTTGTGTTGTTTGGATAGTTGAATGTTGATTGACACTAGTAATATCAATAGAACTTTCATTACTATGTGAAGAAATATCAAGACAAAGAGGGTCATGTATATTTGGTTGAAGTAAAATTTCAACTAGTCGATCATTACCATGACTATTCATGTCTGTATGATTATTGTTTGTTATTGATTGATTTTTCTGTCGAATAAGCTCATTTAAATTTAGTGGATCTTTACGATTACCACCTAATAAAGAAAAAGATGGAAACTTGATAAGTTGTTCTTTAGATTTGAACACCTTACCAAAACTTACATGTTTATGTTTTCTAAAAGTATTATTTTTAATAAAATGTGATTGTGTTGATATTGAGAATGAATTGTGTTCGTATGGCATTATTGGAAAGAGTTGAGTTGAGTTGATTTGAAGAATGTATAATGATTGTGAAATGGTTGCGTCAGATATGATGAAGAAGAATGTATTGTGTAAGTTCGATTATTTACTTTATTTGTATTGGTAATTGAGAAATACAGAACAAACAACACAATCAAGCAATGATAAATTTATGTGCAAAAAATTTGTTTGGTTGATTTAGAATTGTGTAATTATGGACAAATCTAAGTATTATATGGAACAAGAGAGCAAACAAAAAAAAACAAAACTTTTCTTTAGTTTTGGAGATTAAATTAACAGACATATGGTTCTCTTTTTATTGATTGTATTAATTGTAATGAGATCTTTATGTGAACATGATGTATAAATAAAACTTGTTTATGTTCGTTTATATCTTGCATTTCAAATAATAACAACATAACCTTTCTAATTTTTTTTTTCTGGTCTGTCATCAACAGAAAATATTTTGGCTTGACGAATGACATCTCTTTGTTTTATTACGTTAATAAAAGATTATAGAAAAATGAAAAACATCTACAGAATTCTCAATCATTAAAAAATGACGTTGTTCACATCTTATATCTAGCATTAATAGACTTATTTGCTTTATCAAATAACAACATATCTGTTTAAACGAAATTGGGATATATAAGTACTTCTGTTTTGGTAGCATATATTTCATAAAGATTTGAAGACAAAATGAAAAGTTTATTTTTCATGATCCTTTTGTGCTGATTAAGACAAGATAATTAACTTAATAAATGTCTTTCGCTATGTATAATTATAAATGAATGAATTTTTTTTATCAATATGGCTCAAGATAATTCTTGAAAATCCGTATATGTGCATATATTATTCCTAACCATATTCATATTTGGCTCTGTTACATTTAACTAAAGTCCAATGCAAAGTGCATTAGTGTGTTATATCTTTTAAAACGATGACTCATCATCGAGATCTGTCAGCTATGCAATGTTTGAAAAAAGCTGATCAAATCTAATGCAATAGAAATATATCTGAATATCGACTGTATACTTCATTTTATTTGCTAGATCAATAGAATAATGGTGGTTCAAAAGACTTCAAATCTGAACCCATACGATGCTACAGATGATCATGATAATTTGGCTGCACCAGTGAAAAGTATTGAGGTAAATTGTTTTCTAAAGAAAGATTTTATTGAATGCTTTTATTTTTTAATCTAATAGGATAAATGGAAACTTGTACCAGCTTTTCTTAAAATAAAAGGACTTGTTAAACAACATCTTGATTCATTTGATTATTTTGTTAATACTGAAGTAAATACAATTTTAAAATTTCCTTTTTTTTTGTTTTGTTTTTAATGATTTATATATTTATAGATAAAAAAAATTATGTTAGCAAATCAAGAAATTCTTATTGAATCTGATCCTTCATTTTATATGAGGTTCGATAATAAAACAAAAATAAATTATCAATAAATCATTTTTTTTTTTTTTTGTTTTTATAGATATTTAAATATTGAAGTTCTTTCACCATGTATTGAAGAAGGTTATAATATACTACGACCAATAACACCTCATGAAGTATATTGATTAAAATTTAATAATTTTTTTTTATGGGAATTTATTTTAAATAGTGTCGTTTACGTGATATGTCTTATTCAGCTCCAATATCTGTTGATATTGAATATATACGAGGTAAAGAACGTGTTATACGAAAAGGACTTGTGATTGGAAGGTAAATTATTAATTTTTGTTTTGATTATGAAATTTAAATTATTTATTGAATAAATTAATAATATTTAGATTACCAATTATGTTACGAAGTTGTAAATGTGTACTTTATCAAAAGAATGAAGCTGAAATGGCTAAAATGCGAGAATGTCCACTTGATCCAGGTGGTTATTTCATTACACGAGGTAAAATAAATCAAGAAGAATTTCTTTTTATTTTAAACTTTTGATTATTGTATCTTAGGTACTGAGCGTGTCATTTTAATTCAAGAACAAATATCGAAAAATCGAATGCTTATTGAAAAAGATTCAAAAGATCGTTTTCAATGTACTGTCACAAGGTATGAATATACTTTAAACTTTAAGTAGATTTTACTTTTCAGAGTATTGAGTTAGCGAGAACTTCAACGTTTTCAAATTATGACTGACCGTCAAAGAGTTTTATGATTTTCAGAAAATGCTTTATTTTTCAAGAGGAAAAATGGAGATTTCTATCATTCTAATCATCAACATAGGGAAGGGCACTTACCGTTACATTAACAAGTAACGAATACCATTATGGATTTGATTCTATCGTGAGAAAGTAGCTATTAGAAGGAAAATCACAATTTTTTTTTATAAAGTTTGAGTAAAAGTTTTTGCGGTCGAAGAATTTGAATATGTAATCGATTTCTCGGCCATGTATCCTAAAATAATCTTTATTGCATTGATAAATCAAGTACATATTCTCAAGAATCTGATCACATACTTGATCAGACTTTATAAGATATCATTGATTTAGAAACATAGCCTTACCTTAATAAACTCACAAGTTCTCTGTTATAGGCACTGTAACAGTCATTTTCCAGTCCTAATACAATCCATTATTTTTAATACTGCTGTTTCCATCTAAGTCTCATGCGCACGTGATTAACCTTTTCTGTAAAGTGAACTTCAATCCAGTTTTCTGAAAAGAAAATCATTTAAACCATAACGACTATAGAGCCATTTTAAGTAACATTTATAAGTCAGTTGATGATCTTCAGAGTTCATTTTTTTCTACAGAAGCTGAAATAAACATAGGAGTTACATAAAGTACAGCTTGCGCATACTAGTTCTTCGTATAATAATGGAGACAAGCAATATTTTATCTTTTATTGGTCATAAGAGATAGTAAATAGATTTCTTTTCATGAAAATATTTTTCATTTGAATTATACGCTGTCCCTCGTCTATCGTTTGTTCATTCAAAATCAATTGCTCACTTTAAGACAGAGTTACTCATAATAAAATTTTTTTATAAAATCACAGTTTCCTTTAAATATATATATTCGAAAATCTTTGTGAAATAATTATATTTTTCTTTATTAATATTTTCACAGTAAAATATCTCAAATAATTCTTAATTTTTTCTTGATTGTATATACGTTTTCAGTCTGTAAGCAAAGTTAAGGCTATTAGCACAGTCAGTATAAAGGTGAAAGACCAATTTATTGTAAAGATTAAAAGTAATAATAAATATTATATTTTCTGAAAAATGTTCAAAATGTGAAATAAAGTTCAATATTCGAGAAACATTCATATGAACAAGACCGTGATTTTCTAACTAGAAAATCGAGGTTTAAATATCATATTTTCAAATAAATATATATTATTATTTTGTTTAGTACAACACAACAAACAAAAACAAAAACAGGTGTATATGAAAGTAAAGGTCGATACTTTTTGGCACATAATAGTCTTACTGATGTAAGAAAATAAAGTGATTATTTTATCATTTAATAAGATTTATTTTGTATGATAGGATATACCAATTGTGATTATATTCAAAGCTTATGGAATTCAATCAGATCAGGAAATTGCTGAATTGGTTGGTTTTGAAGATTATATATTGAATTGTTTCTCAGCATCAATTGAAGAATGTCATCGATTAGGAATCTTTACACAGATACAGGTGAGAATTCTTCAAAAAGATGTCGTTTAATAATATGTTCGATTAGTATTGATTGTCGATTTCAGTCGAATTCTTCGCTTTGAGAATCGTAAAAACATTTTTCGAATAGATACGTATAAGAAAACAAACGATTGACTAATTGCTCTACACAATGAGCCGAAAAATCTGACTCAAGAGCTTTTCCAACATTGATCGGTCCGATTTACGGTTGAGTTTTTAAAAATGTTTTCAATTCAGTTCAGTGCAAAAATCAGAGTGAACAGTCTATGTGTGGCCTACCGAATAAGAACCCTTCTTGAACACAGACTCATTCTTCTTAATGATCCAAACTATCGTTAACCCATTGTACATGATTACATTTGTAACATCTTTAGCTCAAGAGCGATCGAGCTAAAGACTATCTTTTGTCATTTTAGTTGTAGTTTATTTTCTTATGAACAACGATTACTGAAGAATTCATTTTACGTAGTCAAATTCAAATAAGATGTACAATAACTCCAACTCATATGAACGAAACTAGTTCTCTGCATTCAGCTCATATAAACACAGTTAATAAAGGAATGGAACGAAGTGACTCAAAGCTCTTGTATTGATATTTTTCTTGTAGATAGAATCTATTAAGACTAAAAACAAAGCCTAACAGGACTGTTTCATATTGCTTGTTATTATCAAGAAACCTGAGCAGATAAAAGTGGAAGTATAGACTGCAAAAAGAATGAATTTCGAATAATATCTCATCCAAAAATTAGTTGAGAAAAGTCGATTTTAATTTGAAATCTGATTTATGGATCAAAGTATGCAACTCACATGAACATAGATTGAACCAGCTCATCTGATGAATTTTGCTTGAAAAGTTTTCAGACCATTGATGTATCGTGCAGATTGTCATGAGCGACGAATACCCTGAAAAGAGCTTGATCACTTTGTTTATTGCTGCTAAGATATTGCATTGTGATAGTACTCGTTAACTTAATGCCATAGTTCCTCTCAGGAAAATTTATTTTCGAATTGCGACTTGAAATTTTTGTACAACGACAGGCCTTCACTAGAACAGTTTATTGTAAAAGTTTCTGATCTGTTGATTTTTTCCTATCTTGAAAGAAGAACATCGAATCTGCTAGCATCTACGAGCTATGTAAACAGCATGCTTTTATTATAGCCGTATTTTAGGATAGAAACAATGAACTCTATGTGATACATATAGTCTTGATTTAAAGTGATTAATCAGTTTGAGTGAATTCTATCTTTGTCTTCACTCATACTGTCATTCAGATTGCCGTGCAATCATCATTCTTGTAAGCAATACACACTTTTGATTATTACAATAAAAAAAATATACATGATAAAAACTGTTCGA